GAATAGCTGCGCTGGGTCATGCTTCCCCTGGACAAGTGTAATGGCATGAAGAAGGCGACAGGTAGGATGAGTTTTGCCCATTGGCCTCAGTAGGGCCAGCTGTGTGAGCAAAGTGGTCAGGATTTGCCTGCTGTTGAGTTTTGGCCAGTCGATGACCTGCTGGAAGAGTCTGGTGGCCGGCACGTTGAGTCCTTTCATAGACAGCTAAGATAATCCACCTGGCAGCATGGATGGCGGATGCCAGTCCGTCTTGCACAGCGTAAAAAAGACAGTGGCACAGTTACGGTGCGGACAGAGCAGGACATATGGCACGCACGTGTGCGAGGAAGGGGAGGCTGCTGGCGAGCAGTCTGCCATGGATCACGCTCAGAACAGGCTGTTCTCCGCAGAGAAGAAGGATACTCTGAAAAGTGTTACGGGGCAGCTGAAATACTCCGGAGGCAATGAGTCAAACACTCACAATGAATATTTTTTTCTGACGAAAACCAGACATGGATTAGCAATTGGAGCTGCAAGTCAGAAAGTATAGGTGGCAGGCATGCAGCTCCACGTGTACGTGGGCAGGAAAGTAACAGCAAAGAGCCGCAGGCCTGCAGGAAAGGGAGACACAGGTAAACCAGAAATCCACTCGGAGAAAATTATTTGGCGAGGGTGCCTGAGATTTCCATGTGCAAGACGCCCGATTCTCAAAGGTGCCAGCCGCACTCTAAGCAGTGTTTGCTCAGCACTTCTGAAAAGCAGGCTGCATCTCTCCATGTGCTTAGATGGGAATATATCGTGTGGAAAGCCTGGCTTCAGTTTTCCGTGTGTTTGGAAAGTTGAGGATGTTTCAGACATACAGCGGGCTATCGAAGTGCCTGCAGAAGTACCTCCCCACCGGTGAGAGCTACACAAAAGCAGTCGTGAAAATTCACTGCACTTTCAGACCACGACCTTCGGCACCAACTGTCTGTAGCTCCAAGCAGTAACTGATGAACAAATTAAACTGTGCAAAAAAAGTGGCTTAAAATTGTGATCTGAACTATGCCCACGGCACACGCAGCATTTGACAGCATCAGCCGTGTGTTTGTGATACAGCACGCACTGTTTCTTCTGCAAATGCTGCTTTCCCTTTTGGGTATGCACGTGTTTTCAAGTATATGGACAACTTCTTTATCAGCTTTTTTTTTCCTTAAACCCTATCTGCAGTTGATATTTTATTAATAACTTTTAAGTGGCTATTTTGCAAACCTTCCTTGTGCTGCCGACTTTCCTAATTTATTGTAATTTCCCGTCCGGTGGAGTTCACTTACTTCCTTTATGTAATATATCAGCTGCAGGGCTGGAAATTGTGCAGCTATGAACTCAAAGAGCAGACTTTCTTGAGGCCAAATGCGGTCAGGCATCATTGCCACTGGGAGCAGAATTTGACCTGATAATCTAATCTTATATGAGAGAGTATCT